TTATCACCGGAGAGAGGGCACTTTGACCCTCCCTATGTCCTCTCCCCCCCCGCCACCTCCTTGCCCATTTCTGACAGTGGCATCTTCACTCTGTCCTTCCCCCCACTTGAGAGAGAGAGAGGGACATATTCACCTAATACCCACTCCCCCGCCCCCCAAGTGGGAACAACCTCCCAGTGGGAACAACCTCCCAGTGTCAGTGGTACGGAGAGACGTCTTTGGACTTTGGTAAGGGTCTGTCACTTGTGTATCTGTCTGACGCTCTTTCCGTCTTTCAGCTGGGGTTGGAGATCCAGTGCACCTTCCCAAGTTTCGATTTATTGTGCTCACATGTACCTCCGGTGCAGTGAATAACATTTTGTTGTGCGTGCAGTACAGGGCAGATTGTACCGCACAGAGTGCATTTGGGTCTTGGGACAGAGCGAGGAATGCAATACCATGGCTGCAGGAGAAGGTGCGCAGAGGACGAGATCAACATTAGATTCGAAATTGGAGAGGTCCGTTCAGGAGGGGAAGGGAGCCATTCTTGGGTCTGTTGGTCCATGTGTTTAAGCTTCTGTATCTTCCACCCGCTGGAAGAGGTTATAACCCGGGTGGGAGGGATCTTTGATGTTGGCTGCCTTCCCGAGACAGGGGTAAGTATAGATGGAGCCTGTGGATGGAAGGCTCGTTTGTGTGATGGAGTGGGCTGTGTTTGCAACTCTCTGTTGTTTCTTACAGTCCTGGGCAGAGCAGTTGCTGTACCAGGCCACGATGCTTCGGGATAGAATGCTTTCTAAGGTGCATCTATAAAAATCAGAAAGTGCCAGTACAGACACACCGAATTTTCTTAGCCTCCTGAGGGACATAATAAAAGATTGGAGCCTCGTCCAGGATTATTTTGAAACAGTGAGAATTTGTTAGATGAGGAAAACCACCAGTTTCTGTCATGCGAGTAGGAAATGCGACTGGAAATTGCAAAGGATTCTCTGACAGCCTTGAGTGAACTCCTGAAAATCAGATGACTCGAATTGGAGAGCAGGTTGGGGCTGGATTTTGCCTGCTGAAGGTAGGAAGGCAGAGAGTATTGACCTTGTAGAACTGTGTTTGGGTTGACTAGAATTACAGGAGAGATTGGGAATTTGTTCTTTATACCCTTTGAGAAAATCCTGGGACGTATTGTTTACATGCTAACCAGACAAATCATACCTTACCTAAGTAGATCAGGGTAACAGAGCAGAAGGCAGAATATAGTGTTACAGCTACAGAGACGATGCAGAGAAAGATCAACTCTAATATATGTGAGGTTCATTCATAAGTCTGATAACAGCAGGGAAGAAGCTGTTCTTAAATCTGCCTCAGAGTCTCACAGCACAGAAACAGACCCTTCAGTCCAACTAGTCCATGCTGACCATGTTCCCAAACCAAACTAGTCTGAAGAAGAGTCTAGGCCCGAAACGTCAGCCTTCCTGCTCCTCTGATGCTGCTTGACCTGCTGTGTTCATCCAGCTCTACACCTTGTTATCTCGTAGTCCTACTCCCTCCAAACCTTTCCTATTCACATACTTATCCAAATGTCTATCAAATAATGTAACTGTACCTGCATCCACCACTTCCTCTGGCAGTTCATTCCACACACGAAACACCCTCTTGTGTCAAAAAGTTGCCCCTCGTCCTTTTTAAAAATTTCTCCTCTCACCTAAAAATATGCCGCCTGGTTTTGAACTCCCTCACCCCTAGGGTAAAGACCTTTGCTATTCACTTTAATTAATTTGATTTGATTTACTGTAGTCATGTGTACCTAAGCACAGTGAAAATTATTGTTTTACCATATCACAGGCAGATCATAGCAGACAAGGACATACAGATCATAGGGTGCTTAGAACGAGGCATATGCCCCTCATAATTTATAAACCTCTATCAGGTCACCCCTCAGCCTCGTACACTCCAGTCAAGAAAGTGCCAGCCTTTGCGTATAATTCAACCCTCCATTCCCAGCAACATAAATCTCTTCTGAATCCTCTCCAGCTTAATTATATCATTCCTATAACAGGGCGACTGGAACTGGACACAGTACTCCAGAATAGGCCTCACCAATATCCTGTACAACCTTGACATGATGTCCCAACTCCTATACTCAAAGGACTGAGCAATGAAGGCAAGCGTGCTAAACACCTTCTTAACCCCCCTGTCTATATGGGACACAAACTTCAAAGAATTATTTCCCTGAACCCCCAAGGTCTCTCTGTTCTACAACACGACCCAGGACCCTACCATTGATCGTATAAGCCCTGCCCTTGTTTGTTTTACCAAAATGCAAGACCTTGCATTTATCCAAATTAAACTCTATCTGCCCCACCTCAGCCCATTGACCCAATGGATCAAGATCCCTTTGTGATCTTCTTCACTGTCCACTAGACCACCAATTTTGGTGTCACCTGCAAACTTACTAACCATGCCCTCTACCTTCACATCTAAATAATTTATATCAATGGCAAACAAAAGTGGGCCCAGTGTCGATCCCTGTGGCTGGTCACAGGCCTCCAGTCCAAAAAACAACCCTCCACCAGCACCCTCCGTCTCCTGGCATCAAACCGACTTTGTATCCAGTTGGCAAGTTCTCCCTGAATCCCATGTGATCAAACTTTACTAATTAGCCTACCATGCAGAACCCAGTCAAAGGCTTTACTAAAGTCCAAGTAAACAACACTTACCGCTCTGCCCTCATCTATATTTTTGGCTACTTCCTCAGAAAACTTAATCTAGTTTGTGAGACACAATTTCCCTCACACATAAAACCATGCTGACTATCCCTACTTGGTGCTTGCCTCTCCAAATGCATGTAGATCTTTCAGAATCTCCTCTGACAATTTACCCACCATCGATGTACGTACCATTTGCAGACACTGGGCACTCCAGAGAGAGGCACCGTCAGACTGTCAAACCCACGATTAAGGCAGACTGTCACCTACATTTGCTATTGGACATTTCCCCAAAAGATATGCCTCATAACGCTGAAGAAATATTTAGAGGTGTACATGTGACGCCAAAGCATACAAGACAACAGGCTGAGTGTTGGAAAATGAAAGCAGAACAATTGGGTAGTTGATGTTGACCAGTGTGGACCTGATGGGCCTTTTTCTTTAAGATTTCTGTGACCTCCTGACTCTATGGAAAGGGAGATTTTGGGATTATAATCAGCCTTTCAACACTTTGTTACCGTTGTAGGACATAAATTACACTGCCCCATGTAGTCACAGCTACATTTTCCTGACTGCAAAATGTTGAAGGTTTCTCACCAATTTGGGTAGGTTTGATAAGGTTGGATAAAGCTGGGCTGGGGAGGAAGGATAAGTCTTAGACTTTGTAACTTGTGTCACAGGCCTTGTGATGAAACACATATGGTGTTTACGCCCCCCCCACCCACGCTGCCTCAGGGTAGAGGCAGGTTCTTGACCCTATCATATTCTGTATTCCTGAAGGCGACTAAATTGGAAGAAAGGGCTGCTTTGAAAACCCAAAGACTGTGGAAGAACTTAGTGCCCTTTTGAAAACCCAGTTTCTGAATCTCATTGTGTGTAGTGTTTACACTGCTGCTTTGTTCAGGCAGTGAGGGGAGGGTTGGTGGTGGGAGATGTTTGGAGGTAGCAATGCCTCGGGGTTGGGGGCGGGGGTGCTGCTGGGTGCACAGTGAGATTTGGCCCAGCAACGTGGAGCTGATTGGTTTTCCAGTTGTCGATGCCAGAGGTCACGAACCTGGCAATAGCTCTGATTGGTTCCTGGGCAGCCAATGGGATGACACAACTTTAGGGCCGCTGGAAAGGCAAGGTTATGCGTGTGTCTCTCCAAAGTACTTGAAGCCTGAAATTAATCGCAGCTCTCTGCTTGCTGTAAGCTGTTGCCTTATGCAAGTAATTAAGAGGTTGTGCAGTGTTTGTACCAATCGCCCTGTGCCTCTTGTGAAAGAAGTGGAAATAAAAAACCCCAGAGAAAGGAGATGAAAAGACAGAAAGATGAGCCAAATGATGTGGGCAGGTGCTATTGACCTGCGTTCCCCATGTTTGTTTTCCCAGCCACTCATGAAACCAATGTTTTGCTGTTTGTCTGTGTCCATCTGTATGTATGTAAGGGTTTTCAAATGGCATTACAGAACATTACGTAGTAGGACCTCATGCTGATCCTGTTCATTATGTTTCCTTCTCATTGGAAAGTATGTATTTGTAATAAACAGTAGTTTCTTGTTAAGTAATGGAACCTCGTCATGGCTTACCATTCACCTGATTAATTCAGACAGATCATTTTGGGAGGGCCGGCGCCGAGGGAGCGCCGTGCTGTTGGAGGGCCGACGTCGAGGGAGTGGGCACTGTCGGAGGGTTGGCGCTGAGGATGCACCATACTCTCTGTATTGAAGAGTTGAGGTGGTGTGGGGTTTTATGTCTGAGGTACACACTATGATCCTCTGACATGTCCCACGTGTTCCAGGAGGATCCCTGAGTATTCTGAAGTAGCAGTGTTCAGTCATGATGACCCTCACTCTGCTGGTGTGATGCTGAGTGCCATTCCCAGAGACCTGCTGGAACTGGCAGCTTTGCGAGTTTGAGACACACAGACAGGCACCGGTTAAATATATTCCAGATTTATTACACTCTGCATGATCTTTTGACAGAAAGACAGCTTCCCGTTTGGAGCTCAGTCTCTGGACTCAGAGCAGTGCCTGCGATGACATTAATTACCAGGAGACGCACACTCACAGAGATGGATGACAAATGAAGCTCAGGTCAGTAGGTGGGGGTTACAGTGGGACAGGGAAGGTTGGGGGTGACACACAGACCAGTACATGAGACAGCACAGGCTCAACAAAAACATCACAAAGTGTGCACACTGGGAGTGCAGGGAGAGGACTCAATGCTGTCCCCCCGATTTGGGAGTCAGGGCCAGCACGATGCCCACCACAGGCGAGCAGCCACTCAGCTGCGGGTGGGCAGGGTCCGGAGCCGCAGGAGTGTTATGGGTAGAGGGGGAGGCTGATGAGTTTGCGGAGTGGTTTGGGTTTGGGTTTGTGGGGTGTGGGTCAGGGGCGGCCGCACGACCTTCGAACTGCCTGACCCTCGGTGGCGATGGTCCCCTCAGTAAGCATGGTCAGCGACGAAGAGGGACTGACCGGCAGCTTCTCCTGCCTGTCCCATAGCAGTGTATTTCCCCTGGGCAGCCAGTCCGTTAGCCTGTCGGGGAGAGGGAGAGAGAGAGAGACACACAAGGTCAGGTTCAGTCGCAGATCCCCAAATTCCACCGCCCCCCACCACCGTGACTCAAACTAACTGTGACACACACACACACACACACACGTACACTGTCTCTCACTGCCACTCATTCTCATGCACATGCACATGCACACACACTCTCTGTCTCTCACTGCCACTCATTCTCATGCACATGCACATGCACTCACACGCGCACGATTGTCCCGTAGTGCCCAGGGATGTGCGGGTTAGGGTGGGTTGGCCA